AGGTAGCACGATGCCCAGTTCTGGTCTACTGTATTGTATTTACTCCACTGCATTTGCCATACTGGTCTGTTCTCATTCAACAAACCAGCTTGTTTGTGAATTCAGAGCCCTTCCAGACAGGCCCAAAATGCAGGACATGTCCAAATGACGTCTGAGGTAAAAGCGAATTAATCCAGAGAAAACTGGGTTTTCCCAGTTTGCTCTGGATTAATTAAAATATGGAAAGATCTGGACCTTAAGCTTCAGCAGCCCCAGGGATCAGCCTCAACAGCCATCTCAGTTCTTTGGGCTCCTGGAGCCCAAAGGAGCAGGAGGGAACCTGCCCACCTCTCCCCTCCAGCCCCCCATTTCTCCCGAAAAGAAACTTACCAGAGTACTCTGCAGAGTTCTCCACCCTCCCCGACAGGCACCTCTATTTTTTTTGGGGGGGGGGGGTGGCATCTAGCTATCCCTCAAGGGAAAGCACAGTTTGATTGGGGGTGGGGACAGAAATCCCAGAGAAAGTGGGTATTTTAACRCACTTCCTCATGGATTTTTGTCATGTCTGGAAGGGCCCCCAGTCTCCAATTTGTTGGAAGAAAAGCAAGTGAGAGAAACAACTGCACCAACTCTACATGACATAGGCCCCTTCTACACTGCCATATAAAATCCGAATGATCTGCTTTCAACTGGATTATATAAAAGCCCCCAAATGGCACAATGGGTTAAACCTTTGTGCCACCAAAAAGTCGGCAGTTCGAATCTGGGGAGCGGGGCAAGCTCCCACCTGTCAGCTCCAGCTTCTCATGCGGGGACATGAGAGAAGACTCCTACAGGATGGTAAAGCTTCTGGGCATTAACTGGGCAACGTCCCTGCAGACAGCCAATTCTCTTACACCAGAAGCAACTTGCAGTTTCTTAAGTCACTCCTGACATGAAAAAAAATCCCTGGATTATATGTCCGTGTAGACCAGGGGTCCTCAAACTAAGGCCTGGGGGCCGAATGCGGCCCTCCAAGGTCATTTACCTGGCCCTCGCTTAGGGTCAACCTAAGTCTGTTATGACTTGAAAGCACACAACAACAACAATAATCCTATCTCATCAGCCAAAAGAAGGCCCACATTTCTCATTGAAATACTAATAAATTTATATTTGTTAAAATTGTTCTTCATTTTAATTATTGCATTGTTTGTAAGTGGTTTTTGCACTACAAATAAGATATGTGCAGTGTGCATAGGAATTCATTCATATTTTTTTTCACATTATAATCCGGCCCTCCAACAGTTTGAGGGACTGTGACCTGGCCCTCTGTTTAAAATGTTTGAGGACCCCTGGTGTAGACTCATATAATCCAGTTCAAAGCAGATAATGTGGATTATCTGCTTTGATAATTTGGGTTGTCTGCTTTGATAATCTGGGTTATATTGCTGTGTAGAAGGGGCCATAGATATACAAAGCCATACAAACGATGGAGCAGTTCATGGACTTTTTCAGGCACTGCTTCTTAAATTGTAGTTCCTGTCCCCAAATGAGGTCTGCTTAGCTCAGTGTTGGAGTCATGAAAAAATTGGCAACTTTAAAAAAATTCCAAATACCACCCTTTTACACAAATTGGTTAGCCACAACATGCATTGTTTACAATGGATTCTGCAGAAAATGCTTCAGCTGTACTCCACAAAAAGGAAAATCAGCCTATTTAACAAGCCTTGCAAATGCTATTTTATTTTCAGTAAATGTTTAGTTTGTATACCGATTTTGTATACCTGGGTCACATAAAAACTTCTCAAGTGAAAAGAGATCCTGAGTGGAAAAGGTTGTGGGGTATGGGCACAAATTGCATGGTGTAGTTTGTTTTAGGTTACTGGATAAACCTACCTAACTTTTCAGAGTCACAAGAGATGGCCTTCTCCATTATTGTGAGCTCTGTCTCAAACACAAGAAGTCTTCCTTAGTGCTCTCCCTTCTATAGCAGGGAATGACCTGCCCACAAGAGCTTTTTAATGGTGATGCTATAGTCTTATTCTCTTTCCTATGTTTTCAATGTTGTTTTTTTATACAATTTTAAAAATTGGAGCTGTTTTAATAGCGTGGTTTGTTTACTTTTCATTGTTTTCATCATTTCACAGATCAAAACTAGTAACACATTATGGCCAAATGGCATCAGAGCCTAGCCAAAGCAAGAAAAGTTACCAAAGATAAACAATCCACCATCTATGACAGCCATGGGCAAACTTCGGCCATCCAGATGTTTTGGACTTCAACTCCCACAATTCCTAATAGCCTATCAACTGTTAGGAATTATGGGAGTTGGAGCCCAAAACACCTGGAGGGTCAAAGTTTGTCCATGCCTGACCTATGAGTTCCTACAACAGTTTGTTTTTGCCTGAGCCACCTGGGAAGGACAAAAATTTGCCCTCCTCTCCTTTCTTCCCTGCTTAGTTAATTGAGTGCAAATTACTTAGACATTTGGAAAAATATAGAATGACAGAGGATTAATCAGGACTGTCTCTGGCGAATTGGAACAGTTGGAGGAGATGTGTTTTTAACTCTACATTTTAATCTGTGCTTCAAGCTGCCTTTGGGCAGATATTGGAAAGAAAGTGGGATATAAACAAAATGAAACAAATTCATAGCTGCTCTAATCATCATAGCCAATGGTAAAGGATGCCACATATTGAAATTGATCAACATCTGGAAAGCCCTGCAATCCAACCCATTTTAGGAAGTAATCTGACATTTTGCATATATTGATAATTTCATACACAGTGATAGATAAAAGTACTTGGCATATTCAGCATAACATTAAAGAAAAATATAAGATTTGGCGGTTTACCAGTGCAACCCTCTCAGCTTCCTGGCTCACCTTACTTTTTTTTACATGCCTCCCATTAACACATGCCTCCATCTAAGCTTAGGCTCTTGGGAATGTTTTTCCCAGCCCAACCAATCTTTCATTTCCTTTTTGGCAGATATACTCTGTGATACAAAACTTGACCTTTTGTTCTTGCATTCAAATACTCAGATATGAACTATGTAATGTGTTACATCAGTTGTGAATATCACATGCATGTTTTGATTACTGCTTTTCTTGGAACCTTACATAGAAACTCCTTCAGTCATTGCTTCCACATATTTTGGATAGAAAAATGCTGATTTCTGTGCAATGGCTTGTTTTGTATGTGGGAAGTTCAGAATGACAAGTGATAATAACTTGCTTTGGTCAAGTATATATTGGTATTGGAAAAACTGCAAAGATTATCATGACTGCTACTTTGGCACAAATGCAATTGAAGAGCACTGTTAGTGTGTTTGTATGTGTTGAGATATGTTATTTCACTGTGTTTTTAAAAATGCATATACGAGGAGAAAGAATGATACCCACTTTGAATTGTTTTTTTTAAAGGAAAGCATTAATGCGTGTGACCTTCATAATTACTGCAATGTATTTGCCTGAGTATGTGGATTTGAGTGCAAAATTTAAAGTGATAACATTCTACAGCCAGACAAAAAATGGGTGATAGAACTGGATAATTATTATTTCATATTATAATCAATTTTATCTTTACACACACTTACTTTGCTTACGATTAAAATTCAAGTAGTAAGCCATTATCATGGCTTCTGTGGAAATGCAATGGCTGTCTTGTGTTCTTCATATCCAGAATTTAAAAAATCTTAGAGGTTGGCGGAAGAAGTGTATTATTTTTGCCTTTTGGAAACCTGTGTATATTTGTTGTCGAAGGCCAGAATCACTGGCTTGCTGTGAGTTTTCTGGGCTGTATGGCCATGTTTCAGAAGCATTTCCTCCTGACACTTCACCCACATCTATGGCAGGCTCCTCAGTAGTTGTGAGGTCTACTGGAAACTAGGCAAGTGAGGTTAGTTTCCAACAGACCTCACAACCTCTGGGGATGCCTGCCCAGTGATTCCGACCATGAAAGCCTTCAACAGCAAATATACACAGGTTTCCTCCAGAGGTTAAGGAGTCTGTTGGAAACTGGGCAAGGTTTATATTAAATGCTAATCAAGGTGGCCATTTGCAACATTCACACTTGCTTCAAGCAGACAAGAGTCCTTTCTCCCACTTTGGGCATTCCACAGATATATAAACCTCACTTGCCTAGTTTCTAACTGACCTCACAACCTCTGAGGATGCCTGCCTTAGATGTGGGTGAAGTGTCAGGAGAGAATGCCTCTGGAACATGACCATACAGCCTGGAAAACTCACAGCAACCCAATGTATATATCTGCTCAGTGAAGGTGTTGTAAAATTGAAGACTAGTTTTGTATCTCTAGGTCAGTGGTTTTCTACCTGTGGGCCCCCAGGTGTTTGGGCCAGAAATAGCAGCCAGTTTACCAGCTGTTAGGATTTCTGGGAGTTGAAGGCCAAAACATCTGGGGACCTGCAGGTTGAGAACTACTGTTCTAGGTTAACAATAGTGATATAAGAATTTTAGATGTTTTCAACGGATCTAAGAACAATGCAGTTCTCTTTTTATAGTAGAAATTGAAGTTAGTACACATACAATCATCTCTGAAAATCATAAGTAGTCAGACTATGAACATCTTTATGTCATTTCATATTGTAATATGTCATATTGTAATATTTGTCATTGAGGGAAGAAGGTCAATTCTAAGTTATGATTTTTGTTTCCTAATATTCTGAACATGAATTATCTCCATTGATTGTGGATGTCCTGCAGCTGATGACATTCTTGTTTAATTCAAACTGTCATTTATATACATTCAATTCATTAGATGAACTTTTGAAATTCTTCCTAGCACTCCAATAGCTAGTCCGTTAAAAGATTTCTCTAGCAAATACTGATCCTTAGTGTTTTGAAGAGTTAGGCATGTTTTGTGGTTGCTTGGTTTATGCAGTCTGTTTTGAAAACAGAAGCACATGATTACGATCTTAGTTCTGCTTTGTTGCTTAGTTTTGAGTTGCTTTGTAAGTACTGTTTGTTCTTCCAAGTTAAATTGGTGAGTGCAAATAATGAGATATTTTTCTTCCCCTTTAGCTGGAAAGCCATCAGTACAAGCACCAAGTAAACCTACAAGAAAGATTCCTCTGCCACCATCAGATCCAAGAAAGCCTCTACAGCCATCTCAATCAGAGACACATCCATCATCCTCTCAGCCAAGGACTCCGTTATATCCACAACCAGGAGAAAATGGGCAACCATCGCACCCAAGAACCCCACTTCAGATTCCAGAAATAACAATGCCTGTGGAGCCCTCTCTTCCCAAAATAATCATTCCCTTACAAGGAATGCCTCTTCATCCACCAGATCCTAGATGGCCACCATTACCAGGATCAAAACCAGACTTACCTTCCTTACCTGGGAAAAGTGGGGTATTTATGGTGACTGGAGAGGCAGGTCCTCCTGGCACGATTGTAATGTCAGGAAAAGGGCGATCCAAAAGCATAGACGGCCAAGATGGCCACAGAAGCATGCCTGTTTCTGAAGGATATGCTGGAGCACCAGGTGAGCAAATCGAAATTTTAATCAGAGAGACATTTTCTTTCCTATCACTGACAAAATTAGCATGTCTTTTAAATAATGAGTACCAGTGATCAGATTTTATGCGTAAAAGAAAATTTACACTTGGGTCAAAATCAACATGTTTAATCTGGATACCAACTAATCAGAATAAATACAGAAGAGGTCATGGCAGCCTATACCTAAAACTGTAAGATAAGATTCGAAAAATAGATACAAGTAAAATACATTTTTCATTAAGCTTTCAATTCATGGCATCTATTGCCACATAAGATTGAAATGTATCCTCACTTTCTGTTACATGGTTGGACAACTGTGGCAGGTCCAGAAGCCAGTTTTCTGACCCAAGATTGTCTGGAAATGCACAGACTGCTGAAAAGACAACCTGCCCTCTAAAAGCATATTGTTTTGAAAAAAGAATCGGCAGATATTGTTTTTAGTGAGTGCAAGGGATGATTTGTAATTTATTTTAGAAGTGAATTGCCAGTCCTGAATTTCTTGCAGTGGGGGAAATTCCTGTTTGTTGTACATAGAGAGGAGGATGATTATGGGTCATAAAGAAAAATCTGTGGAAGGGGCGATTGTACGAAGTCCTAGTGGTACACTCAACAATTAATAGTCTCTTACTCTGTAATGGGGTATTCCAATTATTCTCAACCTTCCTAATGCTGCAGCCCTTTAATACAGCTCCTCATACTGTGGTGACCCCCAACCATAAGATTATTTTTGTTGCTACTTCATAACTATAATTTCGTTACTGTTATGAATCGTAATGTAAATATCTGATATGCACGATTTATTTTTATTCACTGGACAAAATTTGGCCAAATACCCGATGCGCCCAAATCTGAATACTAGTAGGGTTGGTTTGGTCATTTGGGAGTTGTAGATGCTGGGATTTATAGTTCACCTACAATCAAAGAGCATTCTGAAGTTCACCAATGATAGAATTGAACCAAACTTGGCACACAGAAGTCCAATGACCAACAGAAAATACTGGAAGGGTTTGTTGGGCATTAACCTTGAGTTTTGGAGTTGTAGTTCACCTACATCCAGAGAGCACAATGGACTCAAACAATGATGGATCTGGATCAAACTTAACATGAATACTCAATATGCCCAAATGTGAACACTGGTGGAGTTTGGGGGAAATAGACATTGATATTTGGGAGTTGTAGTTGCTGGGATTTATAGTTCACCTCCAATCAAAGAGCATTCTTAATTCCAACGATAGAATTGGGTCAAATTTCCCACATAGAACCCCCATGACAAAATAAAATACTGAGTTTTCTGATGGTCTTTGGTGACCCCTCTGACACTCCCTTGCAACTCCCCCCCCCCCAGGGGTCCTGATCTTCATGCTGAGAAATGCTGGGTTATTCAATTATAAGAAAAACAAATTCTCTATATTGCTGAAACTACATTATGCTATAAGAGCTTTGCCCTGGCAGTGAAAGAATCTTTAGAGTTTCATTTCTGATGTATGAGTGAAACTGAGCTTTCCGTATCACCAATAAAACGGCGAATATTATATCCATACTTTCTTTCCGTGGCTTGGAGGAGAATGACAAAGAGAATCAATCCATTGCAGTAAGTGAGAATATAAATAGCCTTCATGGATTGTGATATCTGGTACTATTATTTGTCTTCCTGAGAAAAATCCTCTGCTGTATAGCAGTAGTTCCTTTGTAGAAGATTACAGATTGCCTTTGACAGTGTGCAGATACCACAACCCAATTCCTTTCTTCTCTGTTATACCACTTTAAAAAGAGGTAAATGAGACCGCTCCAGGCATAGCTCTCTAAATTCTTCATTTTAGATATCAGTATTCAAACCACTTAAAGTAGAGTGTTGCTAGAAGCTTCAAAAGGACCACTCGAAAATTATCTGAGAGCTGCAGCAGTAGCATTAGTACTGGAGTGAATCATATTTGATGAGGGGAAACTGGGGGTGATGAAGACATTACAAAGCCTAATGTTATCTTCTTTGTACACATTCATTTTGCAGGTTATCCAAAACTACAGACAAGATTACGACATCCAACTATAACAACAAAAGGTACTGTTGATGATATTTTACCCCACTTTTGCCCCAAACCCTCGCAAAATTGGAGGGGCTACTGTATAGTTATGAACAGGTTTTGCAACATGGCACACAGAGATCTACTGCACTTTTATTACCCCCATACAAGGATAGGTACAAACAAAGCAGTCTAAATAAAATATAAAGCTTTTAGTTACATCAGAAGCTGTTTAAAGTAATTAATTGCTGACATATTCCAGATCTCTTTCTCTACAGGTGACTGCTGGTATAAAATATGCAAAGAGCATACAGCACTGCTTAGATTAATTTTAGATTGTTCATGTAGGGCTGCTTGTAAATTCATCTTGCCAGCAAAGGAATCAAATATAATTAAGACTGGAAAAATAATGCAGTTCATTATGCTTTAGCACAGTGGTTTGTGATCAAAGGTATCTATAATGCCAAGGAAGAATAACTGTTTCTTTTATTCGTCGTAATAACATAGCAAAATATATAGACATTTATCAAGTTGGAAAATTGTGAAGCTAAGTTATTGAAATATTATTAAGAATATATTGGAGAGGCATTCTGTTAAAGATTTGTTAATCAGTAGGGAGGTTCCAGATGGATGGCTTCTTGTGCTCACTGTTGGAAAGCATTATACTTCTTTTCCATTTTTTCCTTCTATGGATTTTCTCCAGCAAAACAAAAAAAACAAACCCCAAAAAACTGTGAATGAACCAATAGAAAAACACACCCTACAAACTGAAAATGGCAATTTCTGAAACTCCCATAAACTTCTATGACATTTTTTGTGTAGTTGCATAGTTAAAGCCTCACTTGAATGCATCCTACGAATATTAAATATATTATAAAATAGACCAGATATATTCAATAAAGGGGTGAAAGGAACTGTTGTAAGCTTAGGTGATTTAGTTAACCCAAAGATTTGGAATGTAACAATGGTGTTTTAGTACAGTTAGGACCAGAAACAATGTGATGTGGCAGCTAAAAAAAGTCAGTGGGATTTTGGCCTGCATAAATAGGAGTGTAGTGTCTAGATCCAGGGGAGTCATGTTACAGAAATACTCTCAGCATCTAGAAACCCACCTTGAAACTAATCTGCATCTCGCTCAGCCATGTCTAGTTTGCCCACTGCCCAGTGAAACAGGAAAAATGCTGTCATAGATGACAGGAAAAGTTAAATGCACATAGATCAGGCATGAGCACACCTCGGCCGCCCAGGTGTTTTGGACTTCAACTCCCACAATTCCTAACAGCCTATTGGCTGTTAGGAATTATGGAGTCAAAGTCCAAAACACCTGGAGAGCTGAAGTTTGTCCATGCCTAACACAAATGCTAAGCTTCCAGTGGTAACATTGCTGGAAGTGATTGACTGTATTGGTCACCTAAAGCGATCATTTGAAAAGTAAGCTTGTTATATATGTAAGGATGGATTGAGCACTTTTAGTGTTACTCATCTTTTTCTTAAATGTATTTGAATTTTGGTGACTTCTGTATTTTAGGAGCAGTGGTCATATCTCCAGTTTCATTCTCAGCTGGTCTCACTCGGAAGCCTTTTCCTAATGATGTGGGTGTGGTGCATTTTAACAAAGTGCTTGTAAATGATGGAAACCATTACAACCCTGACACAGGTAAGGAAATCTTGCATAAAGGACAAGAGAATTCTTTGAAAGTATGTTGTACCTGAAAACTGCATAATGCTATACAAATGAAGAGAGCAGGCTTCAGTATTTTCAGCTCCAGTATCCATGTTTATATTATGGGATCTACTTATAATATTTTGTAAGGAGTAAAAACAGTAGGAACAACATATGTGAAGGAAGGTGGTAGTATCTACAGAGGAAAAAGAACTTATCTGCTAGAGGAAAAAAAATATTCATAATTATCAAAGGCACAGGAAGGCTGTGTTTTGCATCTGATATCATCTTTCTCTTTCTAAAGTCTAATTTCAAAAGAAAATCGTGATGGTTGTTTTGCTAATAGTCACCTTGTGGTAACATCTAGCACAGTGGTTCCCAACTTTTTTTTTTGACCAGGGACCACTTTGATCAGGGACCACTCTCCAACATTAGTACCAAAAGGGATACAAATAAATGTTTGGGCAACTTTAGGTTTGATTTGGTTATTTGGGGCATTGATTCAGAAAATTGCGTTGGATGGACCACATCATCTCTATTTTCTGAATATGTGCTATACAGTAGTCGCCATCTGCTCACCCACAGAAAACCATATTTAATAATCTAGAGCTGATCTGGTAGTAGATATCTTTTACGGGTTGTCAGCCTCTCCCCTCCTGACATCTTCATTGCCTCAGCACTATAAGTGGGTTTCGCTTTTTAAAAAAACATCTGGGGACCCGCAGGTTCTTGCAGACCACTGGTGGTCCACGGACCACAGGTTGGGAACCACTGATCTAGCAGTTGCAGAAATGTAAATTAAGATACATTGTCTCTAACCCACTGCAGCAAATTGATTTGTAGATGTGTATTGAAACAATGTAAATAACTTGTCAGTTTCAGGCTAAAAATAACTGTTGCTTAAAGTTACTTGCCTGTTAACTCTAGAAACAGACTTATAATCAGAGGATCAAAAGCCTGTGTGTTTTGATCTCAGTTTCTAACATCACTGTTCTTACAATTAGTTCAGCCTTCTGCAGCACAGCTGGTAAAGACAAATGAAAATGTGCACTGGAGCTTAAGGTGACATGTATGCAGTAATTAACTGTGCTCCAGAGAATTTAGTGACAACTAGAAATAGACTTGGGTAATCTGGGACATAGCCCCCACTCTTGGAAAGACAAAGAGTTTTCCACTTCCTCCAGTTCCAGTTTATCCATGTTCTTTGTGCAGTTGTCTGTGTTGTGGTTAGTGATATTAATGGACAATTCTTGTAGTAAGAACACGTAGTGCCAGCTCAGGAGGTTTACAGATGAGGATCAAAGCACCCTAGAAACCTTTGACTGCTTAAGTTTAGTCAAGATGGAATATTTAAATCTTCCATTTGCTGGAGTTGTATATAATAATCCATGGGCAGAAATGCTTTTATCTAAGTTAGTTAATGTCCATCAAGTACAGGGCTGAGCACTGTGTTTCTGCTGCACACATGAAGTCATGTCCTGCTGGCTCACAAAGCAACACTCTCCTGTGCTTATTTCCTCATCAGAAAACAAACTATGTAAGCTACAGGAGGAATCGGCTGTTTGTCTGCATGCTCTTGGGTTACATCCTTATGTAGCCTGTGGTGGGAACTGCAGTCTAATGGTCCACTAGTTCCTCATCCTTCCTATAAAACCTGGAGATGACACTCAAGATTCTAGTTCCACATGTTGGGCTAGGCTGCTAGCTTGCAAAAATGAAGCATGTCCACCATTGCTTTGCTCCCTTCTGGTTATTCTTCTTACCCAAGTTGGTGCATTGATGACTTGCTTTATACATTTTCAGGTCTCTCACAGTTTTGAGGTTATTATTGCTCTATTGTCTCAAAATTGTTCAGACAGTGGACATGTATTTCTCCTTAGCCTCCACAGACTTCCATAAAAGTGGCAAAATTGAAGAATGCAATGACAGAGGAACTCCCTAGCAGAAGACAGAATTGCATTCCTTTCTATGCATTTGGGAGCTGCTATGTAATCACAATCAGCTCAGTGGATAAAAATGTACAAAAAGTATGTGCAGGAGCTAATGGAGAATGAGTTCATCTGCAGTCTAAGAGGAATATTATGTTTCTTTTCAATTTAAAAGACAATGCAAATATTTCAGATTGTTATTTCCATTTCCTTGTAAAAAATACTTGCCTGATTGAGAAAAAAACCAGGAGGAATTGTTCTTATGGTAACTATATAGTGTATTTTTTAAAAGTAATGAAGTGTATTTTTTGCAGGTGTCTTCACGTCGCCTTATGAAGGCCGTTATCTGATCACAGCTGTCCTGGCTCCAGAGAGGGATGAATATGTGGAAGCTGTAATGACTGTTTCCAATGCAAGTATTGCTCAGCTTCATACAGCAGGCTATAGAAGAGAGCTTCTTGAACAGCACAAACCCAAATCGGGAAGACGGACTTGTAGTGGAACTGGGGCTCTCCATCTTGTTGTTCATCTCAAGGCTGGAGCAGAAGTAAGCATTGTAGTTACTGGGGGCAAGCTGGCCTACACAGACTCTGATGAAATGTATTCCACATTCAGTGGGGTGTTTCTATATCCTTCCACTTCTCATCTGTAGGGTATGTTGCAATAGAAGAGGAGTAAAAAAATCCTGAAGAAAGTGATGCTAATAAATGATGAAGTGGTAATATTATACTTCTCTCTCCTGTTTTCCCTGCCTTGAAGACTTACGTGCAGTTCTTTACATGCTTTATAGCTGCACATTTCCTCAGGGGGTGCAAAGGGACCGCATCTTGTTGATGGTATATATAGATGTAATGGAGAGGGGTGGGAGTGGTGCTTGCATATCCGTGTTTTGTTCCAAGCCACAAGGCTGCTCACCCTATGATCAAGAGCAACAAGCTAGAACATGCCCAAATGGCCCCTGGAGAGATGCTGCTAATCTCAGCAGCTTTCTGGTTAATGTTGGTTCAATAAGGGAAGTAGCCAGGTAGAGGGACCTCCCATAAGTATGACCTTAGATTCTGCCATTGTGATGTTTCTGCCATTGTGATGTACAACCTCATCACATGGGGCTTTTTGCCAAGACGCAGCAGGATGGAGCCCATCACTTGACACAGGGCTACTTCCAGCTGGACTTCTTCCCGGCTCCATGCACACTGCATCTCGACAGCATACTAAGAGGCACCCCTGAGAACATGGGTGACTGTGTTCTTTCTCAGAGTAAGCCAGGGACAGTGCAGCATAAAACCAGGAACTGATGGGTTTCTGCGTGTGATGGTAAGAAGGCAATGTGGGGCGCTGCCCAGCCGTTTACCCTTCTGCCCCAGGGATGCCCCCACTGTCCCCTGGCTCCATGTGATAAGGACCTTAGATCTCAGCTTGTATGTTATTTCTCTCAGTTCGTTTGTTGTAAATGATAGTTTTCTAAATGCACTAAGGGAGCCAAGGAGTTATGTTCAAAATCTACAATATGTAAACATTTACTTTCTAGAATTTAATGGCAATTGGAGCTATGGAACCTAAGTCAGTTTTTAAAATAGTGTCCTTATAATTTCAGGTTCCTGTTCATTAATCATAAAATGGAGAAAGAAATAGTTAAAAAAATATTCCTTCCAATTCAATGTACATATTGAAAATTGTACCAGTTGTAATGGCTTGTAGTAATGGTGATACTTACCTTTTTATTAGCACTTGGAAAGGTTCAAAACATTTTTAGTGCAACATCTAATACAGACATGAGTCTGTTTTCTTTCAATGGGCACACTTTCCTGGGAGTTTCTGTTGCAGACCAAAACCATTTTCCTTCACCTTCCTCTGCCCCCCTCCCCTTCAGTAGGGACAAGGCCACCCATCTGATTTATGATCTTGTACAGAACTCCTGCAAAACGATTTTGTGAGGCCAGGTTCTCCATTTCCGTATAGTACTGTAGTCCATAAAACAACAATAGTATGTAAATCATGGTTAACTACCACTTGCTGATTGGGGTAAGAGTGCTGAAAATGTGTTTTGTGTAAAGTCACGCAATTCATGAAGTGAAATCAGACCAGAACCATTCTGATTCAAAGCTTCTGTGTGTTTCTGTACCTTTAAATCACTGTTGACTTAACAGCAATCCCATGAATGTCCTGGGGTTTTCTTAAGCAGAAAAGCCAGAAATGGATTTGCTAGTTCCTTCCTCTGGATTATAGACAACAGCACCTGGTATACGCTGGTGGTCTCCCATCCAAATACTAACCAGGGTTGACCCTGTGTGGCTTCCAAGATCAGATAGGTTCCGGTGCCTTTGGGGTATTTAGTTAGCCACACTAGGACTACTAGGTGGTGATACAGAATTCTATTTATATCTTAAAAAGGAAATCTCATACGTCATTTCTTTTCCCCTTAGCCAAAGTATCTGGTTTCATTTATAGCATGGCACCTAATCGTTGGTGCAACCCTCTTCCCCTGGGGCTGGTTAATACAAATATAGCTTTCACTTCTTACCTCTTTAATGAACTCACACATTTTCCTGACAATAACCAAGAAGTAGAGAACAGATCTCACATGACATGGTCAAAACCTGATGACTTCTTCATGTGACATTTTTTCCCCTTGTGGTAAGTGGCAATGTTTTTTAACATCCAGCTAAGAAAGACACACCCTGTTTTCTTTTCTCTTCCCATCCCTTACATTTGACGATTTACTAAGCATTAAGAAAGTTACTTCCTGTAGTTAAGGAAAGAATTCGCCTCATCAACCAGTTTGCAAAATATCTATCTCATTACTCTTCTCCCTTGAGGTCTTAGAAATAGTTATGGTTTTATTTCATAGTCCGGTCAGCCATCCCCTTAAGAATTGTTACCAAGCAACATAAAACAAACGTCCTTCTAAATGCTGAGCTCACACTAATAAGCTGATACACCAGTTATAGAAGTCTTCTACATTTCCTAGTTCCTTCACACTGTATAAAAATATAATTCTTTATTAAAATGCTCACTCTTCCAGTTCAGTCAAGCTATTACAAATTGCAGATGGAATATTCTAGACATGGAAATACTGAAATTGGAGCTACATGTCCTTACACTACAGATTATAAACTGATTTTGTTGATCATTAACAATATTAATAATTTTTCTCCTTTAGTTTTTGCTCTCCAGGTCTGTGAAATTAAACTAAGTTATTAAAACCTAAGGCAATATGAGCATGAGATTAACAACTGCTGTCATGATCCAGGGCCATTTAAGATATTTCAGGAAAGCCCTGTCTTCTTTCTCTCTCCTTATGAAGCTATTATTTGGACCATATTTAATATGTTAACTTTATTTCAACCATTCCAGAAAATCCAAAGCAATATCTTTTCTTGTCAGTTGCTAAAGTAGAAATTTCATTTATCAACCTATTTCTATCCTTTCTACTTTCATGATATTTCAGGGTGGTATTCAATTAATTGCTTTCATTGGAAGTCAAAGTAATTTCATTATGTCTAAGCAAATAGACGATACATTTGAATGTAGGATATTATATACGTAAAATCTTCTAGCCATACACGCAAATCTTGTCTTCAAACACATTTTTTCTCTCTAGTGGGTAAGAGTACCTCAGCTATTTAAAAGCAGAGTGGCAGGCTCAAAGTCTTCTTTCCACATTAGGTGAAGTGCCTTGTTAAACAATGAGGAAACAGTTATACAGATAGGTTGAAATGCAGAATTTGTAAATCTGTGATTCTGGCTTTCAGCTAATTTATGTTTCCAAATGAGGCTATTTTGCACTGGATGTCTACATGTCAGGAATGGAGCTGTCCTTTTCTTTATTACGCGCTTTTCTCCACTTCATCTGTCATCAATTCATCTCTGCTTGATTTCCCTTTGCAAACTCCATGGCCCTCTTCGCTGCCCCACATTCCATAACCTTATTGGAACAGGCATGAAGCATTCCTAAGGAAATACTGTCAAAATCAATTTATTTCATAATCCTACCTTCACTACCTTATGTGACTTTAAGCAGACTTCACAAAAGCTTACAGGAAAGATTTTATCCATGTTTATGTTTGAGTGATTTCTAGAATAAGGAAAAGGTTTGAATGCTGACCAAAAGCCAACTGGCAATAAAGGCTACAAGTGGGAATTGCAACAAAAAGCTGAAGTGCTGAGGGCTTCTGTTCAGGTTTGGAGCAACTCCATTCCACCCACCATGTCCTCCAACCCCAAGAAGCAAGCAAATATGTTGTGCCTTCTGAATACTCGCACTCACAGAACTTTTGAAAAGAAAACATTTTTGACTTTACTGGTACACTGATTTTTCAGACTCCTGTCAGATAGAACATCTGATTTTGTCAATCAGTTCAGTAGCAGTTCAAGAAGATGTATTACCTCTCCACACACACACACACACACACACACCATTATTGTAATCCACAGGCCATTTTGGGTTCCACTAGGAAAAACTTCCAATATACACAAATGATAAGCTTTGGTGAGGTTTTATTGTCAGTTTCATTAAATACAACAAAATGAATCTTTTTTTTCCTAACAGATCCAGTCTTTAGAAAAACAAAACAAAAAGCCCACTGCACTGGAATGTTCACTGATAGATAAATGAGTAAAACTCTTATCAAAACAAAATTTTTTTTTAACACAGTTACATAGGATTTAATGAAGAGTTCCCTCCTCCCTTATATTTAGAACCAACCAAAATAGACATTTACTCTCAAAAAGTCTTTGAATATTTTGTTGGTCAACAAGACAACTTCCTGGGTTAAAAGGCTAGCCTCAAAACCAGTCGTTCGAATACATCTCCTATTACATATTTTTGCATTAGTTGTTAGGATGTTACATTTTGCACTCTAATGGTAAGCCTACATCACAGTTAATGGAATCCACTAGAATTTTCCCATTCTGTGTCATATAATATAAAAAAGTATTGAGTTTTCCAAACGAAGACAGTTTTTGAACAGCATATTAATAACACAAATATTTTGGAAAAAAATTACACTTTTTCTGTACTATACGAATACTTTTTTGCACCCCTCTCTCTCACACACACATCTTCTCTAAATACTAGTTTGAACACACACACACACAATATCCCTAACCTTAAATGGTAATATAAAATGATTGTTTTCTTGCATAACAGTTTATATCTTATTTTTACATAAATGCAGCAAAGAGATTTTGACTATGATTTCCCACTTTAGTCCTTTAAAACTGCCATATTAACTTTCAGTGACAAATTCTAGGTAAATCATTTTAGACGTGCAGTAGATGCTGTTCAATGCACCTCCAAAATTAACAGGAAATGCATTCACAAAGAGATCATTTTGAAGACTGTTCATACACAGAAGTGTCTATCTCTTTCACAGAAAGAACAACATAGCATGCTGATCTGAAATAGATGAAGTAGCTTAGCTTCGTTTCCCCAAACCAGCTCCAAACCATTCATTTCTACTACAGCAAGGAAACAGACCAAAGATGAGCTGAAGTGGACAGGTTGCCTCTCAGCATCATGGCACTGTAAAACACTAGTCAGCTAGAGTGACTGAGGTAAAATTCATGGCCTGCATAGAACTATTCAAAGCTAGACCAACGAATCATCAAACACAAGCATACAATTTTTAGAAGCACATATTTATTTAAATTTAACGTGCTTTGATTAAGGTAGTTCAATAACACTCTTCAGCAGGACTCTGTCTATCTATAATGAAGGAAGAAAATCCTTCAGGAAGCTTTTTGGAAATGTTTAATGGTAAAGAACCAAATGCAGATCTTTCCATCCAACCATTTTGTCTCAACTACCACTTTCTGAGGGAGCCATATCTATTAAAAATGAGTAAAATGCTGTTGAAAGTGTGGAATAAAGCAGTTATTTGGTCTCAGAATGTAAAAGAGCAGAATGCAGGCAGACTGCATGTATACAGAATCCTTTGCAGAATGCAAGGTAATACAGAAATGAACCAATTTCACATGCTAGTGAAATCCACCCGTTATTGCAATTTTTTACTAGAGTTTTATGATTTGTACTTTCTGATCCTAAGAAATTAATGTCTAACATTGGCGTGTAGAATCTCCAGCCCATATGCTGATAAACTACAACTCCCATCAGCTGCTCAGACCAGCTGAGGTTGATGGAAACTGGGCCTCAACAACAACTGGAGGGCCAGAGATGCTTACAATCTGATTAGAAAGTCGATCCACACATCAGCAAAGCCCAATACTGTTTATATATGTACATGGATTATTACTGCACAGCCTCAGGAACATGACAGCCAAGATCTTGCAGGAATTAAAACAATGTTGGCAATGAGGAGAGTGCCAATAGTTGTAACAAGAGAGAAAACCCCGATCCTAGCTTGAAGGGTTGGCACACAGGATGAAGCACAGTAATAGATTACTTTTCTGTGCCATCCAAAAAATATCTGTACTATGTAGCTGCATTTCTAGCAGTGTCTCCCAATGCTTAGCCCCACTCACCCACCTTGAAAATAGCCCCAACACAGCAATGTAATCAATAGTGGAGAGTAGGGGGGAATCAACAGGAACACTATTTTCCTGTGTGAGTTATATTCCTGCATTTGGATGCGCTCAAGATGTTTCTTCAGATGCAGTGTGTCCAGTTATGTCTTCACTCCCCCCCCCCCCCAATACTGAGGAGAGATATACTGATGTACGGTGGATTGGAGGAAAGGATTTGGGTCATTGGGTAGCTGGAAGATCATTTGTAAATTTTGATACCAGCATATTTCCTACCCAAACACACTATAGAGCAAGCCACTGCTTTGGGCTCTATGAGAGATCCTAATGAGCCAAGTCGTATTTCTGATGGGAAAAGCTTCATCTAGACCTTAGGCACTTTCACCATAGCTGGCTTGATGTGAAATAAGAATCAGCTTCATATTCTGTACCTACCAAATAATTTACAATATTTAATAGATTTACATGAAATGAGTAACTGTGGCTCTCTAACTCCAATCAGTCCTAGCTAGTATAGCATAGAGAAATTTATGGGAGCTGAAGTCCAACAACATCTCAACCTAGACTAGATTGACTACATGGTGATCAGGAAATTACCAGTTATTCCCAAAATAGTTCCAGCAATGAATTGGCACTTCATTTGCTTGCTGGATTCACTGTGCCACTGTCACAATTTTTTTAAACAGAATATCTGAAGTAACATTTATAACTAATACACCAAACTTCTCACAAGGATCCTACTGTCAAATGGAAAAACCTTGATATAAAGTTCTGTAAAGGCATTAACAGTACTGACTACACATATTATGTTTGTTGTAACACAAGAATTTATCCCTGAAAAGTGAATTTACATGTTGCCTACTGATCATACACTGCAGAGATACTAAGTGCAGTTAAGAGATGTCAACTGTACAGCTTTTGCAGCAAAAATGATATCCCATAGAGTTTAATTTGATACAGCTTCTTACGAAACAAAAGAATGCCACAAGTAACAAAAGGCAGCTCAGGCAGCCTACTTGCTGTATAGGATTTGTTTACCAACTGCAAGAGGCAAAGACCACAAGTGAGTGCTAAACGAAAGTGCTGTCTTGACTTCAACCCTCATTTCCTTCTAGACAATAAAAGTTGAGGGTAGCCTTCACACACTAACTGGTAAATACTTGGAGAGATTTAAGGAGTATTGAATAACCAAAACCTCACATGTTCTACCTGTAATAGCCGACATGGCTATTGAAATACTAGATATAATTGCCTATAATGCACCTCACATACTTTCTCTTATCACTCTGTAATATGCCTAATATAGTACTGGCTATCAGTTTTACAATTTTTTCCTATTTTCTTCTAAGATGATACATGACAACTAGTAAAATATCACACACAACCACTGTGATTTGTATGCATGGAGATGCAAAGCAGCCCAAAAGTTCCAGTTCTTTCTTGTCTTCTGTCTTCTTGGTGGTCTGCTATTTCAAAGACAGTTATCTTTCCAATGCTTTTAATCAGACAGTTAAAAAGTGTAGAGAAAAAAAGAGAGATCAGTACTGAATTGCATTGGTTTGTGCCAAATCCATGACGCTTCCTGTATTTAATAAGACACATGGCACCAAAATGGGCTCTCTGGGAAAAGGTTCAATGTGAACAATGCTTATTGTTCAAGCTAAATCTTCTACATTCACCTCTGGAAGCTGTTCTCTCCAATAGCAGAAGGAGCTGAATTCCGGGCATAAGAAAGCAGAGTTCTGTTCTTTATTAAGAAGTGGAAACAGATGTTCTACAAGTTCACTCAGTCTGTAATATCTGTGTTCAAAAATAAATTAGAAGAGTTATTAATTACTCTCATTTCTAATACTGCATTCAGTCTTTTATAGTGCATACTGGTAATCGCTGTCAGGTTAAGTGTGCACAGCAGTTTAATGTTTAAAGTCTGGTTCTGAGCATGAAAGTAGGTGTTGTTGAGTTTAAGTATATCCACTCAAGAACGCATGCAATCATAATACCAAAATGTAGCTTCTCATCATCTTGGATAATTTCTTGTTGTACTCAGGATTTCACACACTTTCTTTAAAATGTATATTACAAAGCCTTCCTATTCAACCAATTAAAAAAAAACCCAGATACTTACGAAGATTTGTTTCCCTTTGTCTGTTCTTGAATTAATTCACCTTTTGGGTTTACTGTGAATATTCTACAATCTGGAACTCCAACTTTCATGTAGGCATAGACATCCTGAATGCCATAAATACAACATACAATGTCATTTAAATCTAAAGACTATGCTGTCAATTTTAAATCTGGCTAATGCTACATTACAAAACATCAAACATGAATAGTATTGATCCTGACTCATGAGGAAAAACGAAACATGAGCATGTGAATTTCAAAGTTAATTTAGTTTTCAAAAGCTCAGTGAAATAATGTATCATAATCTCCTTTTCTCCCTGTTTATCCAGTGGTGCAGTGGGTTAAACCCTTGTGCCGGCAGGACTGCTGACCAATAGGTCAGCGGATTGAGCTCCCTCTGTCAGCTCCGGCTCCCCATGAAGGAACATGAGAGAGGTTTCCCACAAGGATGGTAAATATCAAACATCTGGGCCTCCCCTGGACAACGTCCTTGCAGACAGCCAGTTCTCTCACACCAGAATCAACTTGCAGTTTCTCAAGTCATTCTTCACACACACACACACACACACACACACACACACACACACACACACACAAATCTATGTCTTTCAATTGGGGTGGTAGGGGTGGGCTGCACAGATGTCTGTGTATGGAATGGACGTGTAAAGATGCTTTCCACCTATGAACTTTTCAAGTCAAAATCCAAGCCTATGTAATTACTTCATATTCTCCACTCACAATGGAAACATATTCTTTCTTGGAACAGGTAGCTTTGGAAAACATCTACTACCTGCTCAGGCCCATTATCCAATTAGGAAGGGCTTTGTTCAGGGGTCTTGCCTTTGTTTGTTTTGGAACAAGCTATGAAGGCAGACTAAGCCAAATGCAAAATAGGAAAAGTTAAAAGGAAATTTTAGGAGAAAGTTGCTAGAGATAGGGGCTTCATTTGCTACACAGGTCTCCCATATCCTGCCTGTTTGAATCTTTATGCGGTCTGAAAGTGTTCAAAAACCATGTTCCCATTTAGCTTTCTTTTACTTGCTGTACCATGATGAAGACTTACATTAGGTCTGTTCCCAAAAGCAGCATAGAAGGGCTGTTCACAAGGACCAAACAAGTTCTTGATATCATTTAGACACTCAATTTTAAACTTTTCTGGCTTCTTTTCTATCACTTCCCTGGGGGTAAAGAATACAGACACCAAGAAAAACAGTTGGAGGCATGCAGTCGTTTATTTAAAGGATGGGCAGATTGATACTTTTTATGATAAATCAACCCTTATCAGTGCAACTGTATCTGTTTAATGCTTGTCTTAATGCAGGCATCCTCAAATCCCATCCCTCCAGCTGTTTGGGCCTCTTAACTCCCAGAAGCCCTAACAAGCTTGTTCAACTGTCAGAAATTCTGGGAGTTGAAGGCCCAAACAGCTGGAGGGCTGCAGTTTGAGGATGCCTGTCTTAATGCTTCATTTCAACACTTAAATATTTGCCTATTCTATTATTAGTAAATTGTTGCCAACTGCTGGCTGCTACATATCATCAATGTGGAAGGATCAGCACATACACTGCAAGGTACAACCCCTGGTTCTCCAGTTGAAGCCACAGGTGATTAAGACAGCCTTGGCTTGAGACTCTGGAACATATGCTAGCCTGAGTAGATAGCAATAAAAAATAAATGCCCACCACTTGTTCCAAAAGGAGAACATACACAAAGGTTTCTGAATTATGGGAACAAAGGTGACAAAACAAAGGCTATAAAGAAAGATGAACCAGCAGGGCAAAATAAGGAGAAAAATGGAGGTGGCGCAAAGGGGAATTGCCAGAAGAAAAGTAGCACTAGAATGAAGGGATAAGGTGAAGAGTCTGTGTTTGCCTTCATTCTCAGTCTCTCCAACTGCCTGTGAAACTTCAGAGATTTTCACTGATCTTTACACAATGATATCTCTTTGTAACTTTTTAAGTTTATTTGTGTTTTTAAATACATTACAACTGTACCCTCAATTCACTTCTGACATGATAAATAAATAAATGATATCTCTGTGTAGCACCCTATAGGTAGGTTCACCTTTAAACAATTCATTTAACACAGGATCCTAATAAAAGGTAAGTAGCCTTGCCTACCTTAATCCAGAGTGAGGCTGAATAGAGCTTGGTCTTGTTAAAAGTCTTTCTTCTTCTAACTATACTGCAATCTCTATTATCACATTTACAACGTACATTAAATGCACAAAAGGAGAATATATATTCAGGATCTTTTAACAAAACTAATTTGTAGGTGATACTGAACATATACTCGTAGCGCAAAACTAATTTTTAGGTGATACTGAATATATACTCTTCTTAGCATTTCTTTAATGAACTTCAATCATTATGTGGTTGATGTGTATTATCTTCTTGCAGTCTTTACAACAATCTGTAAACAAAAAGGCTATGTATAATTCAACGCTTTCCTACAAATTATAGTGTGCAGGGGTTTTCCCTCTGGGCTCATTAGAAAGTTAATGACTAACTCAAGTTACCTGAATATGTTTTAATATGTTGCTACGTGTGCACAAGTGAAATACATGGAAAACAGTTTCCATCATATAAAATGTGATTCTACAATGAAATCACCACTGATTTTAACTCCTTAGATTATGTTGTATAATCGGCTAATTATAATGATGTTAAGATAGACTTTGCCTATATTTTGCTTACATACCTATGGAAAGCAGAGAACAAACTGCTAGGAGACAACATCAATGGACCCCTGGGCAGGATTGTTCCTTTGTCATTGACCCAGTGCAAATATCCTCTTGTCATGTCTGCCATTCCAATGGCACGAGCAGAGCAATAAAGAAACTTATAGCCATTCCTAGGGAAAAACAAAACACTTAGCTGCTGTACAATGTTAGAAACTTCTCTGCAATGAGGGAAACTTTTTAAAACCTAAAAATTCAGATCAAGTCGGATTTCTGAAGATAGAGTAACATGTTATGTTGTTTTAACTCTTTACTTTCCAAATAGCTCAGAGAGAAGAGTATATTAACAGATGAATTTTGCACAAAATGAGATGGTTACTTCATTAAACAATAGAGACATAATTTCACTGTATAATTGATGTGTGCATGTAAAAATGTTGAAAGAAACTGTGAACACATATCATTTTCTACATTTGGTGTTTTCAATTTCATTTAAATGATGTGTAATGGTGATAAGAAATGGTCCAGCATATGACTGCCATGTGCAGCCACCTCTCTAAGTAAGTCTTGATGGAAAACTGTAATATTTGAAACTGCCTTAAGATCAAAGATCAGTGCAATAAAGCAAAATAAATGCACATGCTAAACAGAAAACCTTCATTTCAGCACTCAGATGTCATTTGAAAAATGCTTAATTTTCTCCACAAAATACAGTTCGAGAGTGTGATAATTACACTATTCAGTCTTTTGAACTAGTTCCTCAAATCAGGTTACTGATTTAGTTATTTCTTTTTCTGCATTATATTTAAGCTGTAAACCTGTTGAGCCTTGCTTAGAGTCAAGTGAATATGCAAGTTTGGGCTAGCAGACTTTCACAAACTCCTTCAAAATAAGACAAAAGTTTTCTAATGTCACTCCATCAATGATATGCTAGCCTGAGTATGAGTATTTTAAAAAGGAAACATGAGAGGAAAACCTAGAAACAAAGCAAGGAGTTTGCTTCTTCATATCTCCCTCTCTTATGAATTATGCTAACTGGACCATGTTGGAACTAGAAGGTTTTAGGCAACAGGATGGAAAAAAACTAAAGAAAATGTAAGGGGAATGGCAGGAGCAGCTGCCATAAAACAGCCCGCATTGTTTCTCTTCACTTTCTACTTTAGCCAAAACAGCAAACTTTATTGGAAGGAAACTTCTGAAATTAATAGAAAAATCATTTGACAAAGTCTTTTACTTGCTCTCCACTAGCATAAGGGAAACAGACCTAGAAACTTTTATTTCATAACACATCAGCTAGCAATGTGAAAACCCAACTTAAAACTTCAACAAGCTTCTGGGTGCAGTCCCATGTTAGAATACGGAGATACACACCTTTCAACGGTCCATGGAAATATGCAAAAATAAAAGTTTAGGACAATTTGGCTAACAACAAATCAATTAATCAGCTATTCCCTTTTAATATAACTGTTTCATAAGTAATATACTCACTCATTAATAGCATGGTAGAGCTTTGCAATACCCTGATGCGTCCAATCTTTGCCAAGCTGTGGGAGAATTTGTCCTAAGGCATCAGACCTAAACCGGAGGGGGGAGGAGAGTTAAAAATAGAATGGTGTGAAGAAATGCATTAATTTAATTAAGTGTTAGAGCAGCCAATGCCACTTCACAATGCAAGAATAAGATTTATAAGCCTCATCATGTATTTACTATCTCATTTAGTCTCATGAGGTTTGCATTTCCTATTAAAATGGCATAAGACAGCAGATGATCCAAAAGCAAATAATCCACAAGTAATCACATTTGCAAAGAGGACCTCCCATACAAACTCAAATCCAGTGTATAATGGATTCATTGCTCCAGTGCATTAGCCAGCTCTGGGCCTCCTAATAATAAAGCCAGGAAGTGATTTATAGGGACAGGATATGGGATGAGAGTCCATAGTGTCTGTATGAGCAACAGACACTACTGGGCTGATTACAGAGGTCATCAGATACAAATTACATTAACATAAAAGTACAGTGGTTCATTAGGATCAAAACTATACTGTAGCTTACTTAGTTATTGTACCATCAATATCAGATATAATTATTTTGTCATTCCAGTTCCACAGATATATTGTCCCTGCACAACGACAGGTTCCTTGATATTGGGTTGTAATGCTGAACACAACATCATTTGGTCCATCTCTAAGTTTCAACTTCTCCTTCAAAGAAAAAAGGAAAAATAATGTTTACAAAAAGAATTCATAGTCTCTTTCCAAAATGCTTCACTAAAAGTAAAGCATTCTAAAAAATGCATTGACTAGTTCAAGCTACCATCACTTCCATATTTCTTACAATCATTTTACTATATACACACAATATGCTAAGGGTGATAAGGGAAATAACTGCTGAATTGCTGTGATCTGAATAATGAACGTCAAGGACTGAATACAGATCACATTCTGGCATTACAGAATCACCCACATTTTCCAGAATAAATGAACCACCACATGCAGAACTAGTGTGGAATCAGAGCTACTTTGTCCTATTTTATGAGGATCATTTATAAGACAAGGGTACTAGGCATGCAAATCAGTAAGAGTTGACCAAGAGTTAATATAAAGTTAAAACTGAAGTGTCTACCAACAATATAAGCCACCTTGACACTCCTTCGGGGTAGAGAAAGGCGGGATAGAAATATCGTAAATAAATAAATAAATAAATGATGTGAGAGAGTTCTAAAGCACAGGCCCGTTTCCCAGTTGCTCGATCTGCTCTTGCAGAATGCTGGAAAATGTAGTTTAGAATTCCAAAAGCTATGTCCCAAGCTACATTTCCCAGACTCTGCAAGAGGAAACCGGACGATTGGGAAACAGGAGCCTTCATTTTAGATATCACTAATGTGATATTGTCCTACCTCACTGAAACTAAATTTATTCCATTTGCTTCTAAGGATATTAGGGACATTATTAATTTTTTAAACAAACCGTCAGCAGAAGATGACAATTATTAAATACTAACTTTAAAAAATACCCTATTTCTTCAATCCTAAGATGCACCCCCCCCCCATAAAAAAGGAGGCTTTTTTCTGTTGGTGGCATTGAAATTAGTGTGTCTTATGATTGATGATTTCTTAGAACCAAAGAAACACAATATGAATCCATTAGTTAAGCTAAAATGTAGCTCAAATGCTATATAATTACCACCACTTTAAATTAATTGGATCAAAATTTATATTCCCCAACCAAAATGCACTTTTTTTTTAAAAAAAGTTAATATTGTTATAGTTTTATATTTTTTGGATAGTTGTTTTCTATAATATATGCCTACTATCGGAAACATGAATTTTTACCAAACTCAAATCCAAGGCACTAGCACTATATCCAAATTAAGGAAATAAAGGAGCATGCCAGTGTAGAAAGATTTCTTCCGGAGATGCAAAAATGAACCTTAATGCCAATTCCACTATCTGAGAAACAACATTAATTGTCAATGTTTTCTATCTATCTGAGTGCGTCATTGTGCGTGTTTGCGTGCAGAACTGCTGTTAAATTAGATACATCATTATTTAAAATTATGAGGATACTTATAGGAACAGATCACTTACAATTTGATCTGAAGACAACCTAAGTGACTTTTTATAAGAGGTAGTATTCCCGTGGCTTGAATGTTCATGTGAAGAATCTATTTTTAAGGATTCTTTCAGTTCTCGTGATCCTTCATCATCACTAGAAGAATCATCATTTGTAGGCCTAACATGACATTAAAATAATAGCATATCAGATACTTCAGAAATTATGTAAAGAGATCCTCATACATTCTACAACATGCAAGCCCATTTTTAAATAAAGCATGAAAGATAAGTCTTTTCTCCAGTTTCACTTTCAGGTAGCAATGATTTCATAAATACTGTTTGTCCTCATTACAAAGACAGATACAGTATTGCCTTTGCAATCAATTTAGCTTTCAACACAATGGGCTGATAGGATTTTTGCTTCTTGATGTAAGCTGATAGTCTTCCACTGCTTCTAACTTTGAAGGCTTTCCAACTATTCTCCCCTCACATTAAATCAGACTATTGTTTTATATCTATACTGACTGGCAACAACATTTCAGAGTCTTAGCAACTTTCTCAGTGCTACATGGGAATGCCACTGACTGAACATGGAACCATCTCTTTAAGTCCACACAGGTACTAAGCCATTATCCTTTCTCAAATTATTCAACAGAAAATTTCAATGTTATTTATTCTTAAAACAAACTGCATTTTAGAAACATACCGGCTTTCATTTTGTTCCTTTGCAGCTGTTGATGAGTCATTTTTTGGAGCTTCAGATTTCCCTTCCTTTGTCTCTGGAAGCTAGTATATGAAAAGCACATTGAAATCACATCAGCACAGGACATCGTTTAGTTTTGCCATCTGAACATTTAAGAAAACCTACAGTATTTCTGATCCCCATGTTCCCAAAAATGAATAGTATGGTAGTATTCATTGATTCATTATTGAAATCTACTTCAGGGCAAGTGATTTCATTAATTACATTTTACAAAAGTCAACTCCTTCTTGCTATAAGATAAAACTGCATATAATTAATCTGCCAAACCAAGACCAGTTTGCAACGTTACTGAAAAGATTGCCAGGTTGTTGCACAAATGATACATTGTGAATTAATACTAAAAATATGTTTCAATATTATTAATGGATCTTCACACAATGAAAAACTTTTTTAAAAAAACATGCAACAGATGAATGCCAGATTTGTTTGGGCATGATATCAAAATATGCTATGTTGAGAAATTCCCTCTTCTAGCCCCATGTGATTGATTATGAAGTATTGTTGTAGAAAGATCCTGAGTTGTACAAAAAGGAAGGAAAGAATTCTGCTGTATTGCTTCACTAGAAAAATTCAGGACTGCTACAAAACAATTTGTACTTAAAAAGAGCGACATTTCATTTGGTCACTAATTGCCATACATTTGATAAGTAAGAAGTCGATTTGCATTCAGAAAGTTAACAGTGGAATGTTTCACGTATAACATTCAAAGATTCACAATTATTTAAGCTAGAAATGAATGTTTTCTCCTCCTGTTTTTGCCAGGCCTCAGCATGGCAAAGATGGGTCTTTTTAAACCAGTTCCTCTTTAAGTCTTAAATAAACCAACATTAAGCTACAATTTCCTCCTATAGGAAGCAAAAGGAAAGTGTGACAGCCTAGAACTTATTTTTTTTTTGTGTTACTACCTTAGAGTTGGAATAAATTATGACTGATTAACCTGATGATGCTGCATCTGACCTGGTACAATAGTATAAACTGATGACTTTCACATTACCTGTTTAGTCAAGCTGTCCTTCTTACGCCAGAACCACCACCTCCCAGACTTTTTGGGCATTTTATCTTTAATCCAGGATTCAACTGTAGCCTAAACACATTAAGATTTAGTATGAATACACACAGCTGTCTTCTGGTTGAAAAGTAGACATGCATATCTACTAATTGCATTGGTCATAAATTAAGTGTCTTTTGGCAGAAAGAAAAATGCATCTACTACTAACAATAATGCTGAACTTTTGACGTGTCCCTGTTCCCTTTCTTCAGTTCAACTAAGTACTAAAATGGTAGCCTATACCAAAAATGTGGAGGTTCCATCCAGTGTAGCATCTCCCACAGAAAGCAGCTCATACCTGCATTTGCCAGAACTAATCCATGTTGCATGATATCTCTATCACACTAGGGCCTGCCACTCCTGTCCTTTGGAATGCTGACACAGTAAGTGTTTCCTTTTCCAGGAATAGGAGCAAAAATACAACAATGGAAGTTGCTATTCTAGGGAGTGGGAAACCTTTTTTCAAATCAAAGCCCCATGATCCCAGATTGAAGTAGCTGGCAATGAAATACCAGCAACTGGGAGGACAAACTCCATTCATACACATGTGCAGTCCTATTCACACTAATTCCTAGCCCACAAATCTATAGTATACCCTCCTCATTCTTTCTCCAATTTATCCAACAATTAGGCTAAGGTCTTTTTCCTGAGTGTAACTGCTATATCATGGAGAGGAAGTATACAATTTTAAAGGAGTTTATGATATCAGCAGTGTCTTACTCTTGAAGTCTCTGTCATTTGCAGTGCTTTTTCCCCTCACAAAATTAAGAGGTGCATCAAATACATATTGTAAGACACAACCTCATTTTATATACTTTACGACCTCAACTACATCAACTCCTGCTTCCACTGTGATTCTGCTTTGTTATTCCCTCCTGCTTCTATGGCTGATCAATGCTGGTGCTTGGTTTTCTTACATTCTGGAGTATTTACTGTCACTGAATTACCTGTGGCAAGCTCTTTTGGAACACTTGCAAGCTGAGAATCATGGGGGCAGCCAAAGCCCAATTATAATACCTGTTAGATAGAAAGCAGTCTTTATTAATATATATAATAAATAAATATAAATATAATAATTTTATACAGAGAATTCTAGTACAAAATATAAACTCAGTAAAAGTATAACAACGATACTTTCAGATGCGTTTTATTTGTAAATGGTATTTTCGAATTCCTTTGGAAGATTAAACAATGTATTGCTATGACAGTACATTATCTGCTACTAACTAGAAAAAGGTACCCAGTAAAGTTAGGTTTTGATGTTAAATTATTTAATGAAGGACAATATGAAATATGCCAAACTTTATAGCAAATATTTTTTAAAGAGTCAGGGATTATTACCTGTTATATATCCTTATTACTAGGTTAGGGTTGTCTATAAGTCCTGGGTTTTCAGCAAATTCATGGTAAGTGATGATATGCTCCATAAATTTTTCTGGAATGCAAATATATTTTGTCAGTTGACTAAAATGCTTTTCTTCCTCTTTACAAACAACAACGTGTCCAATTCTTGTTATATTAATGATATATGTATATGTTTTTGCAAGTAGATTGATCTCTATTAAAGTTTCATAGTCTATCCAGATGCATAAAAGTTTATACATACTGCCACCTGCTGTACCTTCCAATGTAATATCAAACAACCTCACTTAAAAGCTTTGAAGTGAATTAGGAGGAAAATATGCATAAAGCCCCAAAAAAGCAACTTTAAATAAATAAATAAATAACTTCATTTTTGTACCCCTGCCTCCATCTCCCAGAAGAGACTCGAGGCGGCTTACATGGGGAGAAGCCCAAATTCAACATAGTTAAATATATAAAAGAAACCACACATAATACAATAAAAAAATCACTGAGTATACCATCAATGATCTGAGAAGTGCAAATTTTTGAAGAAGAAAATAAATAACTATTTGGAATGAAACTGGATATTTACATACAAACAGGAATGAAATTCTCAGTACTGTTACAGAATTCCTTGAAAAAGTGGCTATTCTTCTAGATGGAATGCCTATCCAATTTCAAGGGTCTATTCTACATAAAGATTACAGAGTTACCTCATTTCATATGCGCCAGAAAAAAGATGCATTAGCAGCACTACCTAATGTTTTACTTGTAAAATGTTTAAATAGGAGCTTACACAACCAATCTCAAGGTGTATCTTAAGACCTGCGTGTTTTGAATCCCAGTATTATTGTTACTAGTTGCTACAAACATGGAGCTATCAATGCGGTAAGCAGTTCTACATATGATAACCCAAAAATAGGCTTTCCTGCAGCAAATATTCCTTATCTATACTCATTTGTTGTGTTTCTTATATTGGTGCTTATGTATTTATTTTCTGCCTTTTTTCCAATATAGAGGCTGAAGGTGGTGAATAGCAAACATGACACAATACAATTAAAACAGAGCAAGTACATTAATATGGATATAAAGATTAAAAAACTATTTGTGTTAGGGAATGTAAGAATATTAAAATACAATTAAAACTATTTTTAAACTATACTATTTTTAAATTTGAAAACTGAAGGGCAGGGAACGGATTTGTCATCCTTTTACTTATTAAGCACTGTGTACAGTAATGGTGCTATATACATGATGATGATTGTTATTTATGAAATAGTTTTAAACATAGACCAAACATTAAATTGCTATCAAGAAGGAAATGTTAATGGCTGCAACTTTATACCATCGCATATATGAATACATTTATTCCTGTGGTCTGATTGCACCCTTCACTTCCAATGATAAGTAAAGCAACACTTTTGACTATTCAAAAGTCATTTGCATTTAAATGTCTTCATTGCCCTTTATAACATCGATTTAGCAAGAAGTCACTAATCATCTTATTCAAGTACTTAACTGCAGGCTCTACCATAATAAGAATGGAAGAAATAACAGTTTCTTCTAAGCAGACTGCTTCCTACTCCTATCACTTTTTCATACTGGTTCACATGATCACCTTGTATCTAAAGGTGCCAGTGCATGAGTGAAAAGTACTTCTAATTCATGTATGGGAGGGTCTTGGATTTCACTCTTTCCAAGCCACCTTTCTTCCAGGATTAGACCAAAGACTCTATATGGGTTTTTGAAATTTCACAAATTTTAGGTGTAGTTTCTCATGGTGTGGAAAATATCGAGGTTAGGGTGGATCACAGAACACCAGGTTTTTTTTAATGAAAGACAGGATCAAATCATACTAGGATTCTCACACTGAAAGTTAGGAATATGGATACCTCATGATGAAACCTAGGGGTTGCTCTGAATTTTTTATTTCATATGCCAGCCCATTCATCAAATGGGTTTCCTTGTTAAGTAACAATATAGTTGGCAAACCAGTAAGGATATTTCACTGTTGAAACAGAAATTCAGTAGCATTTTGTGAAAACTTAGGCTGGATTTACACAGCCAAATAATGCACATGCTGGTGAACACAAGGCTGGACTTCTGCAATGCACTTTACACTGGGCTACCTTTGTGTCAAGTTCAGAAGATCCAGTTGGTTCAAAATATGGCAGCCAGATTGGTTACAGGAACATCCAGGAATGAGCATATTACACCCATACTAAAGATATGCCACTAGATGCCAATTAGTTTCCGGGCAAAGTACAAATGATTGGTTTTGACCTTTAAAGTCCTACATGGGTCCAGGGTACCTACAGGATTGCCTTGGCTCATACAATCTGCCCCAAACACTTCGGTCCTCTGGGGGCACCTACTCCAACCAGCCAGAACCGACACCCATCATCCGAAGACCTTTCCATCAGCCGGCCCAAGACTATGGAATGACCTGCTAGAAGAGCTCCAACAGCTAAATCAGCTGTCAGAATTTAAAATACATCTGAAGTCCTATCTTTTCCAGCAGGCCTACTCAGTCAGTTTGAAGCATGCATTTTAAACTCACATCTTGTGTTAAGCTTTGTTCTGTATTTTAATAGATGTATTTTGTAGAAATGCAATTATTGTTGTTGTTTGAACTGCATTATATGGTCAGTGGAGATTCATATAATGCAGTTTTAACTATATTACATTATATGGGTTTACACAGACCACATAATGCAGTTCAAATTGCATTGTTTGGCAGTGTAGATCCAGCCTGAATGAAATTAATGGTAAAGGAAATTCTTAAAACAATTCTATAGGCTACATTTTGATCCTGCATTTTATTTCACAGTAAATTCTTCTTTAAAACCTTATATTAAAATAGGACACTCATACATACCTTTTGATATCTCCCCATTTTCACTCAGACCGCCACAAAGAGATAATGTGACATCAGGCAGGTCCATTGCAGAATCAGACATGCACTCTGTACCACTATCTGCTGCAGCACTTCCCACGGATTGTGGAGACTGGGAACCAGAAAGGGTATCAGACTCCACCCACTGCCTAGTACCTGGGTCAGAGTCACTGAAAACAGTAAAAGCGGATTCTTAGTTGGGATAGGGATAATTTGTTCATTGCTTTTTGAAACAAACTTATTGTGTTCTGTGTGCCTGAACAGAGTTGTCATTCAGAATTTGCTTTTAAGAATCATATAACAATATCCTACAAACAAAAATGTGTATAAAGTATGTATACTACAGACATATCCACTCCAAAAAAGCGTATGTTAGAACATGTACAAGAAAGTACATGTATGGACTAACTTCTTATAAAAATGTGTGTACATTAGAAGAAAAGTGTTCAAAATTGCACACATATTTATAGATTTTTTTTAAAGTTACAAACATACCAAAAAAAAGCCCCAGGGCAAAACGAGGACTGCTCTGGAAAAAATGTGTAGTTTGGGGAAGCTGATATCGATGAATTCAGTCATTTGTAACTTTTACATGTAAAGTTCTCACTTCTATAATTATAAGCATGCCATGCAAAGTAGATTGTGTAAAAGAGTGCATGTTTAATTATTTCAACAATGGTATTAAAATGTACTTACCATTACTGTTCATTAGCTTATAACGATATAAAGAAAGGTTTAACATAGTCAGCTCAGAGGCCTATCTGGTCAATATTCAACTACAACAGAAACCTCAGGTGCTAAATACAGTAGAACCTTTACTTAAGAGTGTCCCAACTTAAGAGCATTTTGAGTTAAGAGCTCAGTCATGGAACAAAACAAACTCTTAAGTCAAAGCATCACTGTAGAGTACAATTCAGATACCCATCACATCTTATTCTTCTCTATCATTCGGAGATGAAAATGGCAATATTTCCAAATATTGTTAGCTGAGCTATAACTAAACTTCCTTCCATTAAATAATCTTGCTTTCTAACCATCAGATTTATCAATCACTTCTGCAGCCTTTAAAACAAACTAAATGTACCCAAATGAGTTCCAGTCCTGCCAATTCACAACGAAAACAATGTGTTCATTGTTTCAATCATAACCTGACTTTGCAGAGATTAAATCTTTAGCACACAGCCATCAAATAATCTAAGGAGGCATTACAGTGGCACCAACTAGTATAGATCTGGTCTATAAATCTAAGCAGGGTCAGTCATGTTACCATTTACCAACTAAGAATATCAGGTGCTATAGGCTATATTTTACAAGAAGGAACTAGCAAAACTACATCTGAGTATCTCTGTAGAACTCATACTGTTCTACAGACCCTTAAAGCAGCCTTTCCCACCATGCTGTCTTCTTGATGTTTAAGACTCTTGGTGGTCATATTGACTGAGGCTGATAAGACTTGTAGTTTATTTATTCATTTACAGTATTTATAATGCCACCTTTCTCACCCCTGGGGGAACTCAAAGCGGTTCAACTCATGTGGATCACAATAGGCTGGGGAAGGATACCTTAGTGCAGTGGTTCTCAACCTGGGGTCCCCAGATGTTGTTGGCCTACAACTCCCAGAAATCTCAGCCAGTTTATTAGCTGTTAGGATTTCTGGGAGTTGTAGGCCAAAAACATCTGGGGACCCCAGGTTGAGAACCACTGCCTTAGTGTATTAAGACAGTTCTGTAACAGACAGAGAGCAAGACTTCCTTAAGCTTCTGCTCATATAAGAGCATGCTACAGTCTGAAATTAGGAGTCAATTTTCTTTAGAGTAAAACACAACCAGCCTTTCATAAAACATAGTTAAGCCTCTGTCTATTTTGTAAACTGAACAATTCTTAAAGAAAAACTATTCCTTCTAGAAAAAAATGGTATTCATTTTAAATAGTTATGGTTTGATTCAGCAAAATTTAAACTTTCAAATTCCATATCTTTTATATAACTGGAAATTTAAATACAGTATGCTGTGTCCTAATTACCTTTTTGGGAAATAAAGAGCAGCAACTTCAGGTTCCAAAGCTGTCAGGTCATCCAAATATATGTCATCTGGCCCTTGGTGCTGGCTTCTCTTGTGTATTCCTGAAACAAAGGGTTCATTTTGGACAAGTGTTGGACATATTTTCTGTATATATGTGTGTGTGTGTGTCTGTGTGTGCATATATATACATACATACACATACATACATACATATAGTGTCAATCAAAACAGAGCTTTGATATAGCTATTTCTAATTATTTCTGTGAATTTGAAATAAATGTTCCAACCAAGATAATAATAATAATAATAATAATAATAATAATAATAATAATAATACTTTATTTATACCCCACCACCATCTCCCCAAGGGACTCGGAGCGGCTTACATGAGACCAAGCCCAATAACAAATCAAAACAGAAAAGCAATAAACAAAACAATACAATGCAATACAAATTAATATAAATCACATATAACAATAACACACAAGGATTTAAAAGCTTATGGCCAAGCCAAATGTAAGAATTTAAAAATTTAAAAAATAATGCTGGGCATGAATAAGGTAGGATATATCTCGTAGGAGGGTTTTAACAAGTGAAGGACGCAGTCCAACGCAATTCAGCAGTTAAAGCGCATTTGTAAGGACATTTTGCTGGGAGTTATTTCTTTATTCCGGGAAGGTACACTGGAATAGCCATGTTTTCAGGCTCCTCCTAAAGACTACCAATGTTGGGGTATGCCTGATATCCTTTGGAAGTGAGTTCCAGAGTCAGGGGGCCACCACCAAGAAGGCCCTCTCCCTCGTCCCCAATTGAGCCTGCAAGGGAGGTGGGAGCGCAGGGCCTCTACGGATGATCAAAGAGATCATGTGGGTTCATACACAGAAATGCGGCCGCATGCATAAATTTGTTGCCTACTTCTAAGCCCTCCCCCTTAAATATTCAGAAAGAAAAAAAGCAGAGATGTAGTTTATTCAAGAAACCAGTTAAAAGTATATACCTTTTTTCTTTGAAGGAGAATCAAGTTTTGCAGGTGGTTTAATATCCGATGGAGAATCTACCAGTGGACTGGGGATAGTATCAGATTCCAATGCTAATGAACTTTGGAACATTTCCAACACAGGTTCTGTATTTACAGAATTAAGTCTCTCTTTAATATCTAGCTCCTTAAGTAGCGGGTGAGTTCTTGGTTCAGGCTTCAATATCATACAGACAGACTCATTCACCAAAAGATCAGCTTCAACTGTATCAGTACTTGATATCACCCTGAAATGAGTGTTCTCTGATGGAGCGATTGTGGCTGTTCTAGGATGTTCAATTTTTTCCTTTTTGCTGATCTGCAAAGGAAAACATCCACTTTTTCTAAAAATTCTTTGATCTCATTCATTATCTTTATTATTTAAAACATCATGAACTTGAACACTTCTGATCTATATAACAGGTAATCTCCAATCCTATCTTTGATAGAGAGAAAGGCAAACTACATCAACTACAACGTGTTTCAAAATGACTGACCCAATTTCAAAGCAGTATATTTCATGATGGCAACATGTTACAATTACACAAAAAGGTACAAATGGTTTAATGAGTTATCAAGTTTTATTAGACAGGAACTATTCAGATTACTCCTTTATTCATACATAGTAATACAAAACATACAACATTTATTCTGCTGCTAAAAAGCAGCTTCTTTTTAAAAAGGACCAAGAATTAACCACAAGAGGGGGCTAAGTATGTACATGTTGTTTCTACTTCAGTAGTATTCACAACAGCTCTTGTTTTCAGTATATGAGAGCAACTCCAAAATCTTTCAGAAAACAGACTTTTTCAAATAACTTTACCTTGGTAGATTCTGGAAAGCCTCCCCATGTCCATTCCATGTGAGACTCTGTTCTAAGTAGGCTCTCTGAAGGTTTAACTTCCAGTTCTGAATCGCTTTTAGGGCAAGCTGACATACTAAATTGGCTGTAAAAAATAAAATAAAGTTGTGTTTCAAGCCAAAAGTGTTTTCTCTAGTATAATTAAAAGCTCATTAGTTCAGTGCAAAGGCGAAAAACCAAGTTGGAGTTGCAGTCTGTGAGGCAAGAGAGGCTGGATGTAAAGTGACATATAATCCAGTTCAAAACAGATAATTTGGATTCAGAAACTGGATTATAGGGCAGTTTAAAAACCATAACAGATGAGTTAACATTGGTTTGTACTAACAGATTTCTTCACTACAATTTAAACACTTTAAATGCTACACACATACACGCTTTCCCCTTTCACCAAAATGCTCCTACTTCGAAAGAATTAATAAAAACAAGACACAATTAACTTTAATCAACTGTATAGCACAACCTGAACTTCTGCAATCAGTTGTTTTTAATGGCACAAGGAAAGAACCTCCGTTGCTTTGTTCAGTACGATTATATATCTCCATCCCCTATCTACTACCATTTTACTTTTTCATACCAGTCCTGTTTCAGGTTTTAGGGAGACTTTATACTACATGCTTTCAGTAGGCATGTCACTACTAATATTTCTACTATTAATATTCCTCTATTTGCCCTATTGTAGGACTCTTACCCATGCCTTCACCATGGTAAAAACAAATGACCATTGGGGAAAAAAAGTAGCCATGAACTGACAGAGACACAAATAAGTGGGTCCTGGAGCAAATAAAAAGATCCATAGTGGCTAAATCAGGCATGAGCAAACTTTGGCCCTCCAGGTGTTTTGGACTTCAACTCCCAGAAATCCCTGTCAGCTTACCAGCTGTTAGAAATTGTGGGAATTGAAGTCCAAGCTTGTGGGCCAAAGTTTGGTTATTCCTGGTTAAACTAAGGTTATTGTACTTTAGTCATTTGATGAGAGGACTTGACTCACTAGAAAAGAGAATAACACTTAGTAAGGTACAAAACACCAGGAAAAGATTACATTCCAGATGGAAAGACTCAATCAAGAAAGCCACTAATCTCAGTCTGCAACCACTTGAGCAGGATGGTTGATGACGAGGACTTGGGAGATCTCTCATTCATATGGGCATCATAAACTACAGTGAACTTGACAGCAGTTTACAACAAGATTCCTGTAGGAGAACTCCTCCATTCACTTCCAAAAGGCATTGTAGAGCAATAAAATAATGATTGTGTATTAGTTATCAAACAGGATAAATGTCTAACATGCATTTCAATAAAAAACTCAGTTTGACTCAGTCATAACTTTTCCTTAAGCTCTTCATTTAGTACATCACTACAATGTTAGCAACCATCCAACTACCACCATTTATTTTGATCTTATCCATTCTTATCTTTAGCCCTATCTCTGCTTCCTACTGGCCCTATCTGACAATTAAATAGTTAAAGCTCTCCTATTTTTAGTTCTCCCTTCTTAGCCTCTTTTTCTCAAAATTCCAAGAGCCATGATCTGCTGGCTCCACTCAGGCTATGTAGACTAATGATTTAATCCTTCTCAGTTGCAAAGCAAAGGGGCTTTAGCTCTTGGCCAATTTCAGGTTATGTGAAAAGTGCTCTGAATACCAAAATATCACAAAAGAGTTCTCAACATTACTAAGGAAACATTTCTTCCCCACTCCCCAAAAATAGGCAGATGTTAGGGTGAGGGAAAGTAAGCTATATGTAGAAAAGCATCATTAGAAAAGGAACATACAAACTACAGAAGTAATAACAAACGCAAATAGTCATATTGTATATAATGGCCACATCAGTCAATTAAGACTGTAATATCCCTGTGAGAATGTAGCATAGGAAATGACCTACTTTTCCAAAGGAGACCAGTCTCCATCTGACAAAGCGTAATGGTCCTTAGAATGATAAATCAATGATTCTTTATAGTCTTCATCTTTTGGTGGAGAATCTGAAGTATTTCTGTAGAAATAAAGAATTGGGATATTAAGAAAGAGACCTCCAGAAATAAGCATGACATACTCTTAAGTGACATGCCCAATGGGCAAGAGCAAATTCTCTTCACAGATCAGTAATTTATTTTCAAGAGGGGCTGTACTTTGATCTGAACAAAATCATCAACATCGTGAGCTGTAACAGAGGCAAAAAAAGAGACTCTTTCACTGGGGGTGGAGGTAAAGACTGTAAACAGCAATAAAGACAGTGGCAGAAAGTGCTTTCATTTAAGTTTCTCAGCTGTTCACTACCATATGGCTATATGGGAGGATTAAATAACATCTCTCTGTGTCTCAGCATGAAAGAATATGGTTTGTATATCTTCAGAAACAGATTTGTCCCAGAAGTTCAATTTGCCTATCTCTGTGATGGACTGTATTTTCCTTCTGAGACCAAAACAGGAGGGAGGATAATGTGGTCCTCCAGATATTCCCAAAACTCCTGACTGCTCCACTCTAAAAAAGAAGCTGTATGATTAAACTTGGGTTTTTGTATAGAAACATTTCATCCCTTATAAATAAGGGTATCTTTAGCTGCTACAAAAAATAATCCTAAAAGAATTTTCCCTAAACTTATCATAACACTGTTTATATGTTTGGAGATTCATATTCAGATTGCTATGATTGTGTACTCACACATGGCAGGGCCTTGTGTCTCTACAAATTGCTGAGCCTTGTGTCTCTACAAATTATATGATTCTATAACATTTGTATCAATTAAACACGGCTAAGTGAATGAACAACGATAAAGGCTGTAGTATGAGTAATTATGTTGATTTTACAGTAGAATTTTAATCAGCATAGATATACATTTCTTAACACCATAACTGTCCTCTTGGAATTTGTTATTATCATTGTCGAACAGGAAAATAAATGCGACATTAAACAGTCGTACATGAACATTATGTAAACATTTATGAAGTATGGTAAAAGTTCACTTGCTGATGAGTTAAGCACATGTTTAATGTCACACATTCATAAGAATTTTTCATTTTTCCTTTTGACAAAAGTAATTGAAAGTGGATAATTATGGTGACCGGTAGGTGATTAAAACTGTTGTATTAACAACAGAATTACTGATACTATAACCTTTTCATTATTCATTCACCTAGCTATTTTGATTGCTACAAATGTTAATATTTACTCTGAATAGGAATCTCCAAACATTATGTAGTTAAACATTTAAAAAATCTTATAGCAAGTCTAGGAAAATTTCTTTCACAATTTCACAATGTCCAATATAAGACACATTTCATTACTGAGTTTTTTATAACGTGACAGTTTAGTCAAATAAAAGTTTACCTTACAGGTTTAAGGCTTCTGTCATCATCTGAGCTCATTTCCATTTCAAATACTTCTTCCATTCCAGGAGAAAAGATGTGATCTTCCTTCTTAGAATCTTGTTTACATTTTCTTTTCCTTCGTTTCTTCTTCTTTACTGACCCAGAGGAAAAATGAGGTTCTGATTCCTCCATCTGTGAAATGTCTTGGCTTGGACACATTCTTTCATTTGTACCTGGCTTTAATAGATAATCATCATTATCTTTGAAGAATTGTGCTTCTGTGGGTATTGGAGATGTTGCTAAATGCGCAGGAACTTCTTCCTTTAAAAGGTGATTTAGGCAAGAATTACTATAACTTGCATTATATATGCATTACAAGACAAATACAAATATTGTAGTGTTGCAGTGAAGGGATCAATTCATATGTGAATGTTGATTATTCTAGAAACGCTCCTAGCGTTTCTAGAAACGCTAGGGAAAGCAAGAGAAAGCAAGTATGAGAAAAATCAGAAAATTAAGAACAGAAAGCAAACGTATGAGAAAGAAAAAATGTGGTAACTTGAAAGGAATGAGAGATTAAGAGAATGTTGTAATGAAGCAGAAATAAATAGTTATGAATACTGATAGGAAATAGTGCTTATATCCTAATTTATTGTGACTTTTTTCTATTTCTTTCAAAGAAAAAAAGCTATTTCATTGTTAATATTTCAATTGCACAAAATCTTATTTTAAAATATTCGAAAAAAATAATGGTCAGTTGAACACTAGTGTTAAAACAGACCCTGAATTTCACATTATACTACTTACAAATTTTTCTTCCGTTTCCTGCACAAAGAATGCTTCACCGTTATCACCCAGTTTCATATGAAGGTCAACTGCTTCTCCATTGATTTCAATATCAATCTATTGGAAAATACAAATGCTTTTTAGATACTTAAAAGAAAAATATTGGCAGCCTCAACTTTGTTTGCCTCTTTGTTAAGGAGGGGAAAATGTTGGAGGCATGTGCTACATGCAATTCCAGCATTGTTTTTAAAACACCTTACCCAGTCCAATAATTCCTCTATAACTGTTAAATCAAAACCTCTAGAAGGCTCAAATGATCTATCTTGGGAAGGAGCAGGCTTCTTATAGAGGCGGGGTGGAGATCCAAGTGATCACAAGTCACTTGCAGCTCTGAAAAATAGCCCAGTATGGTATCAGGCTTACTCAACCTGACAATGACCTCAAATGGTCCTTCAAAATCCTAAGGGCTTCTAGGGTAGAGTTGCCAGTTATGCCAAAACTGGAACAGCAGTGGTACATAAGAGTAATGTTGAGTGCAGTACAACATGCCTCTCTATAGTAATGTCCCTAATTTGTTGTGGAAGGCTTCCATGGCCAGAATCACTGGGTTGCTGTGAGTTTTCTGGGCTGTAGGGCCATGTTCCAGAAGCATTCTGGAACATGGCCATGTTGTTTATTCGTTCAGTCACTTCCAACTCTTCATGAACTCATGGACCAGCCCATGCCAGAGCTCCTTGTCGGCCGTGGCCATCCCCAGCTCCTTCAAGGATACCACCCATCCATCCTGCCCTTGAACATGGCCATACAGCCTGGAAAACTCACAGCAACCCAATGTCCCTAATGCCTGCAATCTGTCTAGACTTGCGCCATAAATTCTTGAGCTGAATGAATCACTGCTATGCTTTCTTGGACTTTTCTTTCCATCTTAAGTCAATTTTTCCAAGTATGATCAGGGAATATATGACTCAATGCTCTATGGTATAAGCATTAATGAACTACTACTACTACTACTACTACTACTACTACATGATTCAATTCCCCAGGTCATAGACAGGTTTCCTGATCAATGTGTACTCAGTACAGTGGAATAAAGTTGTGACACCATCACAATAAGAAAACAAGGCTAATTAGGCAAGAAAGAACAATAGTAACACTTATTCTCTTAAAGCTGGGGCAGGAGAGAAAGGAGCAGGCTACACCATACTCCAAACATATAATGAAGGCCAAAAACAAAACAAAACAAAAATGGAACTAGTAGGGGTATTCATCTCTTTCTATTTTTCTATGATCTTAAGTCTAAAAGCTTGTTTGTTTCTTTGTTTGTTTATCTTATAATAAATATTTGGACATTTCTGAAATGGTTTCACTATGTCTCTTAAAAGCAATCAGTGGTTTCATACATTTGTTGAAATGGAAAGCACATGACTGCTTAAAACACTACATTTTTAGTAAAGATGTGACACATTTGCTCCAGTTTCTGATAACCAAGAAGAGCTTCCCAAGATTTTGCCTTGCCATTACAGTCCTACAGATTTACTCCCTCGGTTGTTATATTGAACTTGAAGAATACTGCACCAAGGACTCCTGATTAAAATTAACTGACAGATGGTAAAAGGATTAATAAGAATAGCAAAGGTCTTATATCAATGACCCTAAGAAAAGAGCAAAAATAAATGAAATGTTCTTAAAACTGAGTAAAATTATCACTTGAAGAATCTTTTTGGTCATTCAGTTTGAAGGATCACTACATTATCTAGGATGCTGAAGCTCAATGAAACTGTGAAAGTTTCCAAATAACTCCTAATTATGTGAATGGGCAATAAAAATGATAAACGAGATTCAGTGCAAGTAACAGTAAACTGATGCACAGGGGGTTAAAACTTAATTAAATTAAATTCGTAGATATACTGGCAATGACTAGCCCAGAAAGATATACTGGGGTTGGGGGAAACAGCTTAGTGAAAGGATCTATTTAATGAGTGGCTTCTATAAAAAGGCAAATTTGATGTTGGGAAGTATTTTTCAAAAGCTCAGAGTTTTAAACCCCTTTTACATAGAAAAAGTAAAGACACAGATGGAACGTTGTGTACAGTTTCTGGTTTCCCCACTGCAGAAATGACATTATAGATCTTGAAATGATCGGAAATAGGGAATTAAAATGACTGAGGATGGGATGGAAGCATCTTCCTTGCAAGAGAAGATATGTACTTACCCCCTTTAAAGTCAAAAACAATGGTAATTAAGAAGCAATGTGATAGAGGTTTATAATTTTTGCTCATGTTCTCTAATAATGCTAGACCTATATATAACAACAAATCCACCGGTCATCCAACCATCATCATGCAATTGGCTTAGGACTCATTAACACTGGAGCTGTGGGCTGAGTATGCACAGAATAGTTCATACAAACCCTTTTGTTCATGGTACTCACCACTTTCTCCTTGGAACGTAAGACCCCAAGCTTTCCAAATCTGACATGGAATGGTGAGCACAGGAATGTACCATCTTGTTGCCGAACTATAATTACATCAATGCATCCTGAAAGTGTAGCCTGGTTGATGCCTTTGTACAGTTCCTTCACAGTAACCAAAAGTCCTGCAAGCTGTCCTACATAATTCATACTTCAAGACTGAAAAAAGAAGAAGCATGGATTGAAACTTTATTCCAAATTCAAAGGACATATTTTCCATTCAACAGATTACACATTTTCAATGGTATAACAAAACTGATTTGAACAAATAGCTTTTTAAAATTATAAAGTGTTATAATTTATGCAATAAAATGGAAAAAATTTGGACAGGTACAAACAAGCTAAGACATAGTTTAGTGAATGTTAAATGTGCAAATATGTCAATAGGCACTCAAAACCATCATTATGATATAACAAACTATGAAGTGACCAAGGCAAACACACACAAGATGAAAAACATACAGGTTACAGTTGCACTATGGGCCATATGATACAAACAGATTTGTACACACATCAAGAAACTTCTGTTATCAGAATTTCTTTTTTGAACACATTGTCACAGACACATTTAATAATTTTAGATATACACCACTTACTACATCACTGTATATAATGGAACTTGAGCAGCCAAGGATTTTGATAACACTACAAAAAGGTATTTGTTTTATAAATGATTATGAAATAGCTAGAAAATTTTAAATGCAGAATACAAGACAAAACATAAACACATGTGAGTTTACTGCAATTAACAGACAAGCATAGGACTGTCTTAGTACCAGTATTACTTTCTACAATAAAAAAAGTGAAAATGTTAACTATTCCTGCCAAACTTTGTAACATAAAAACCTTAAAGCACATCATGATGCCAGGAGGCACACTCACAAATCAACTCTAAATATCACTAATTACTTCTGTCATCATTCTATATTTTCAGCTGTTTACCCATCCATTTTAAAAATAATATTGAAATATTACCTACATTTGTGCTTTTTTGTTTGATATTTTTACCAGAAGAACATAATACAGTAGACACACAATTAAGTGGAACCCATGGGGATTTGGAAGATGCTGGATAAATGCAGGACGTATCTGGTTGCTAGAATTACTATTAAAATAAGCCTAACTAATACTATACCCCATATTATACCATACTATAAATTCTGTATCAATGAGATATGAGTATTGAAATACAGTAATTAAAAGCAAACAAAAACAAAAACAAGCTTAACTTAATGCAACATTTTCACTAAAATTGATTTTATTTTACATTTAATTTGAAGTATTATTTATTCAAATTCTTTGCCAGTTGCTTGAGATCTGGTTAACTGAGTCTATAGAACGTTATTTCTTTGCTTCCTGACAAAGTGGTGGTGCAGCTTAAGGACTAATCTGAAGAAAACCTTGCAGAAATGTTACTGTATGACTGATGCAGCAGGTTTGCAAGAGATAAGTGCGATGAACATTATTTAACATCTGTTTACAGTGATAAGCAATGATGCTGCATTTTACCAAATAACATTTTGGTCCTTTCTAAGTTAACATGTGATTTTTCCCTTATCTGCTTTCCAAGGTGAGTAACCACAGGACTGTTTTGCTTACCACATACTTTTTCTGAATAGCTAGATTGCCTTAAGTCCTTAGTCTGCAAGCAGATGGAACAGTCATATGCTTGCTCACTGACAGGTGTTTACCATGAGCTTTTTGTTACATTGATGGGGGCTTTCCTTTGCCTTCCTTACCCCAGCCGTTTTAATGTCTGGGCTTATTTAAACTTTTCTGCTGCTTTTCTGCACCCTGGCCTCTTTTATGCAAATAGGGGAAAAAGGGCAAGGATCTATATTTCCACTTGGTAGTGGATGTATGTTAGTATTGGTATGTTGTCACAGGTAAACACAAATGCAAGTCATACCAGAATTGGAAGAGCCAAGGTGGAAGGAAACCCGGACAGACCCAAATGAGGGCAATCCAAGAGCAGAGGAAGAGATAAGTGAAGTTGGAATGATTGACAAGAGCACATATGTCAATAAGACTCTGGAACAGTACATTAAACTCTTAATTAGTCGCTTTCTTACACAAGGCAATCAGAAAGACACTTCTAAAACAATTTTGAAAAACTGGACAATTTATATAAAAAAGGTCTGAATGAATCCCATATTGCATGGGCATACTGGATGCTATACTTCAAAATATTCATCTACTGGATGCTATGAGCCAGACAAAATATTCTCTACATTCACACTATGGTAAACCATAAATTCTGGCTTATTCAACCTTAACATGCACAAACCACATATAGATGAAAATCAGTTCATTTCTCCTTTACTCTTCCTACTCGGGCACGCAGATGAAGTAGTAAGCCATATTTAGGGTGCAATAGATAAATTATATTTCTGTATTATGGCAACCCTAAACTGAACATATCAAAGGGTTTTCTGGCGCAGAGTGTATGTGACTTGCCCAAGGTCAACCAATAGGTTTCCATGGCTGAGCTGTCTCCAGAGTTGTAGTCCAACACTCAAATCCATACTGATAAACTATTCATGTTTAATTTTTTTTAAAGTAATGAGAAGGTAAAGAAGGCACGACTAAACAGGCTGTGTGAACTACAATGTGGCTCATACATAGTGTTGTTTAAAAATCTGAGATGCTTAATTTACAGTTATGAGTAAACATTTATCACCATGTTTCCCACAAGTATAACGAGTATGTCAGTGTATTGCTGAATTAAGTGTATCAGTCTAGTACTGAACAGAATATACAAAGTCAGTTCTTTGCTTTAATTTAGATATTGTGAACAGCTAGGGAGGAAGCAGCAATCCATTATTCTGGAATTAACAAGTACAAAACATATTCAACCAACTAACAAGTGAAACATTTATCTGTAAGTAGCAGTTAATTGCCACAACTGGTCGCTCTGAACAAAGTCAATGTAAGATGCACAATCTAAGGTCCCAAACATTTTCTTTTATAGTGAAATGTGACCCTCCTTGATATTCCCTAGAAAAAAAACTGTTACAGAATAGCAATGTCTGGTTTTATGAGCACAGAAGCTAAAAGGCTAAATAGTATGCGTGCCACTCAGGGTGTACTCATAGTTCTTATTGCAGACATGAAGTTCTGAGCCACTCCTAACAGGTCAGTCTCAGCATAGACACTGACATTTCCCAATACTGCAATCAAAAAAGATTTTAATACCAACCCTGCGACCACCCTGTCTAGGTCAGGAAGGAAAACTACTGAGTCGCAGGGTGGGTAGGACACCAATTAATTTATTCTAGTCACCCAGTTTTGGGTAACATGCTCAAACTCAAAAAATGATGGCATAGGAGATCTTGGTCAGGAAGATGAAATTCCAGAAGACCACAGCAACTCCACTTCTGCTCCCTTTCCCTAGATCTTGTTTGCTGATGTGTAGAAAACACAGGCCTAGATTAACCACCCCCAGGCTTGTCCAACCACGTCTTTGTCACATATGTCAAAAGCAACTTAAAGCATGCACTAAAAAGCAAAAAAAATGCAATTTTACATTACTTTATTAAAAAGTCTTTACTTTAAGAAAGTTATTTCCTGGACACCTGTTTGAAATTACACAGAAGGAGGGTCATTCTTTCCTGAGGGAGAGAATTCCAAAATATATTAATAGCCATTGAAACAACAATTTCTAACAAATTATCCAGATGTGTCTTTAATGATGGTGGTGGGACTGTTAAAAAAGAAAGGCTTTTACTGAAGATCTCAAGGCTCTCTCATGTGTCCTCACTTATCGCTGTGGAGGGATAAAAAAAAAAGATCCTTCCATGATTTTAAGACTTGGGCAGATTCATACATGGAGATACAGTGTTTCAGATATTTTGACTCAAATAATATAGGGCTTTATAAATCATAACAAAAATTGTACTGAGGAATAAACTTGCGAAGTTGAAGATGTTTCAACTATGTTGGACCCACAGAAGAATCCAAATAGTTTGGAAAAGCAAACCCACAGAAGAATCAGAATAGTTTGGAAAAGCAAACCCACATAAGCATTATAGTAATCTAAATGGAATGCACTCAAATCATGTTACAATCAAATCTGCAACTTTCACACTAGATTTGGCTGTGAAAATACACTCCTGGACACTGCCAAAACAGGTTCACAGATGAATCCAGAAGTATGCCACTACCTGAATCAATATTCCCAGATTTGCAATTTGATCATGAATGACTGTATTTTGACTCAGTAAGATTTGATTTATTTACCTTTATCCAGCTAATTATTGATAGCATGCCAATTCTGCTGATTTCGAAGCTACCCATGCTTGCTACTTATCTGTTTTAAAATATTTGCTTTTGATTGTCCTTATCTGCTATGTTAAAATTGCAATAAAGGTTTTTTTTTTAATTATTGGCAGCAGGAACTGGTTTATCTCTGAAAGAAATTCCTTGGAATTCTATAGAAAGAGAGTAAGTGTTTGGAGCCAGTGTACTGATGACAAGAACCCCAACACTCCAGATAATCCCTCTCAGTAATTTTTATATAGACAAGATGACAGACAGAGTATAACTCTGGAGACATAACTGAGCCCTGGAATGCCTATAGGGAATGGGGGTTGAACAGGAATTTCCAAATACTGCTCTCTGAACTCATCCTTCCAATGACTTGAAACACTGTAAAATACTGCTCCCAAATCCCATCCCAGAGAGATAACAATGTTGATGGGATCAAGGTTGCTGAGAAATCTGACAGAACCAACAGAAACATACTCCCTTTGCCCAGTTCCCGACACATAAACCAAACCTGAAGACAGACTGAAACAGATCTAGATCTGCTTATTTTCTCTTGTTATTTAGTTTATTTTCATTTCTGGTTAAATTGTAACTTTGATGGCAAGTTTTTACATTTTTGTCAAACAAGTACACTTTGTCTTTTATAAAAATACGACTGCACCACATAAGTGTTTTAAACTGCTTCTTTATATCCAGTTTACTGTTCTATTTACTATTTCATACATGTATCCTGAATAAAACTTTATTATTCATTTTACATCTCTGTCTGAGTAATTTTGGTAATTGAAATGTTAGTGTTCAAATGTTAAATGCCTATACTTCTTAGGGTTTTTTTTTAGTAAAGGGATACTTTGTTTATGATAGATTTGACAAGAAGTGGGGATGAAAAATGT